ACGTAAATCACTTTTCTGAGTATGAAAATTTGCATGAGTAGACGTCTTTGATTTTATTTTTGCAAGTTTCATGTAGCTTTCGCGGTTACAAATGTTTATTAATCTTTCGTCATATTTTATTTTGGTGTGAAGTGGGGCGAAAGAAAAGAAAGAAATTTTTCTGGCATTTTTTGCTCGCAAAATTTTTTCAACCTCGAATTGTTCAAGTAATATTTGAATGTATCAAAATATTAAAGGCTTTATACTTTTCTCTAATCTTTTCCAACCAACTTTTTGGGGAAAAAAACAGCTGGTATCTTATTTGGGTGTGCTATTTTTAAAGATTCTTTTTAAATTTTTAAGCTTTGGCTGTTGTGTCTAGAAGTTTCTTGCACTCATTGGATTGTATGTAAAAAATTTTTACTATATTTTTGGTATTTTTCTCTTTCTTTTTTTCCTGGTTTCAAGTTTGAAGCTTATAAAAAGACGCCCTTTCAGATTTTGAATAAACAAGTATTTTCTCTGATTTTTTGATACATTGTATAGCTTTGCACATTCCTGTTTTTCAGCTGTTAGAAGAAATTTTACGGCTTTTCTTGTTTTAGGTTTGGGAAAAATTTCGCTTTGGTTCTGCTAGGTCAAAGTATTGTGATGATTATATGTATGGCACTTATGTTAGAAATTTCTGTTAGAATGAATCGAAGAAATTTGCCAAAGTCAAAGCGAGCTTCAATATGGCGTAAGTTCTGCAGTTGATTTTCCTTTATTAGAGTGAACATTTTTGAGGCTGCAAGTTCGCTATGCTTCTCATTCAAAATTTTACTGATTCAATGAAAAAATCTTGTTTTTACTGTTGTTCTGGTTAGTTTGTGAGTATGACTCAGTTAGAGTACAAATTGGATTACAGTAGTACACAGTGCTTGTTTTTTCTTTTAAACCTTCAGTCAAAATTCACTGAACATGTTTTAATACGTTATTTTAAACTCGTCAGTTGTAAACTTTTTATTGGGCCGAAAATTTTTAAAGGATTTATCGAAGTCAGTGAACGTAAGAAGACGGGAACGAAAAGTTTTTTTTATGAGGTGTATTTCACAGATGCATTTTTGGAAATGCTTCTTGTTTTAACAAATAAATAGTAGGGCTAGGTTGAGATATTAGCTGAAGCAATATAATTATGTTTGTTGTTCTTCTGTTTTTATATAAATTCTTGAGAAAAAAAATTTTTTTCAAATTAAATTTTTGGGTGGCTGAGATCGTTCTGAACTGAAAAGAACTGTCTTTTTTTCGTCTGTTTCATTTATTTTGTGGAATATTATTTTTTATAAAATGTCGATAAACGTAATTTCATTACATTCTTTTTCCTCATTTTTTTTTTTGTAAACGAACTGTATTTTATGCGACGCTTCTAAGAATGAAATATATATAATAGCCCATTGTTTATAACAGGTGGTGATAATTTGGCTAAGAAGTCTAGTTTTTGGGTTGAGCCACTGATTGTAAGATTAAACAAAGAAATTTTCTTTCGTTATCCTTCCTCTTTTTGCATTTTTAATCTTTATTTTTCTCATTAGGGAACTCGTTGTTTATTGAGGCAGTTTGGAAATTTAGTGTTTTTTTGGTATCATTGAGTACTAACTTTTTGTTCTGCTGTTTACAATTGCAGAAATTTGTTGACATCAGGAAAGAAAAAATTTTTTATTTTTTAGTATTTTTTAAGACAGAAAACTACTACAGGGCAAATCAAAGGGTTTAGAAGTAGTTTCATTTACTATTTAGTTCTTACTTCTTAATTCTTATATTCTTATGTGAACAAGTTTTGAGTTGCTTATAAACAAGTTTATAAAGAGAGATTATTGATTAGCAATGGCAAAGAAAACAGAATGAGAAGTAAAAAAACAGGAATGATTGACGAAGAATTTTTTTCCTATTTTTTTCTGCGAAGAGTAGAAAGTTGCGACAAGACTTAATGATACAGACGGGAAAAAACATTCGGATATTTAATACTGTATTCCGCGTAAGACTGAACTTAACCAACGCGGTTTGAGCAAATCGCAGTGGAATAAAAATTAAAAATTTTAACGCTGTACAATTTAAAAATGGCAAACACATCACATTGGAATGCATTCAACGAGAAGGAAGCAGGGGAGAAAAAAGGGGCTGAAAAGAATTATGTATAATGTGAATGACTCTGTGTTCCTTCTGGGAGATTTTATTAACATTATATTTTCTCGCTAAATTGATGCTTCACGTGCGTCAGACTCTGCTTTTGTTGATGTGAAAGCGCTAGTCGAAGCAGTTTCTCGAAGCGTGTTGTTATTCCTGCCAATCACTTTGTCTTCATGTGACCATTTGACGCGCATTTTCAACGACTTTGAACTCTTGTTGTGCTCGTTACTATCTCTTTTTGTCAACATGATACAGGTGATGTCATTTTCACTCGGTTTCCGTTTATCACTGCCAGAATCATTAGCACCGCCGTATGTTCGAGTTAGATTGCTGCGCGTATAAGTTACTTCTTCTTCATCGGCTTCTGTGATTCGATTATGTGAAGCAATTTGTACATGTGTTGGGTGTTGCCGGTATAAATTAGGATTTTGATTGAATGCGCGTTTATGTGGTGGGCCAAATTTGGAACTTACTAGAGATCGAAAACGTGCTTTAGCACCTTGTCGTGACATTCGGAGGCCGTAATGGTCGTCTGGTGCTGGAATGAATTTGCAAAGACGGTGTAATAGCCTCCAAAGCGGTAGTATAAGGCGTATGGCTGACTTTTTGAACTCTTTTATAGTAAAGGAATATATTACTGGATTAAGCATTGAATTACAGTATCCTAAAAAAGAATCTGTTTTGTATTTTGAGCTGCTTTTTCTATAAAATAACTTGATGAAGTATAAATCAGAAATACGCAATTTAGAATGTAAAAGTTAGCTGAATTTTTATCATCTGTCTATTATGATTGCTACTGTTTACTAAAAGAAAGTGCATACCAAGCCACGAAGCTATTTCGATGAGATTGGTCGGTATACACTCACAGTGATTGTCTGTAATGAACATTTTACAGCCGAAGAAAAGTTTCAACAAAGCAGAAGAGCTCGTTAGTGTTTAAAGTGTTGGTCAGTTGGTGTAACTTCTATTTCTCTTTTTTTTTTTTCGTAAAGGTATTAAGTTATTTTTCAGTGTAAGTTTCAGTTTTTATTTTTTTTTCTTTTTCGCGTTTGCGTTTTCAAGAGGAATAAAAAAAAAGACTTACTGGTAAGATATAGCGTAAAGAAGGGTAACCAGCAGAATAAGAAGGAGCAGGATACAACACCCAGTGTTTTGGCGATACGTTCATGAGTACGAAGAACTCGTCTTTGTTGCTCGAACATTCCGTTAGTTTTGCCGGTATGTACACGTAAAGTTGTCTTCAAAGATGAGGAAGGGTTATTGGAACTTGTGGTTGCATCTTTGTTTATAGTAATTAAAGGTAACACAAATTTTTTTCTATGTTTCTACGGTTCTTGCTTTTTTTCCTAATATATGAATTTGGGCTTTTGTAGCGCAGAACCATTGGATTAGATAGGCGCTTACTTGCTGAGTAATTGTATTGGTTAAGAAATTCATATTATGACCGAGAACCATTAGGAAACCTCGATCAAGCGCTCGTTGCCTGTTTCTTGCTAATTCATAGATTCTCCAGTACAATGTTAGAGTTACAGCCGCGGGAAGAAAGAAGGCAAATACAACGCTGTGGGCCAGATATAGAATTTCATTCCCAACAAAACACTTTGTCTAAAAAAATAGGAAAAACTTGGTGGTGAAAATAGACGGGTTTTTTCAGAGTGATATTTAAACTTGAATATTTCAGCAAACTTTTTAGTTCTTCATGTTTTTGAAGGTGTGGACAGTAGTATTTCCTTAACTTTTGTTTCTTTCGGATTCATAAAGTGTACCTTTTCTGGCGCGACTGATTAGTAAGTACATTTGTATGACTAGTTGTGGGGAGAAAAACGGCAAACCTCTTTGAAGTCATCTGGTTGGCTCCACCGGACTGTTGCCAAGAGTACAGAAATGGAAAATACCCAAATACTGATGATCATACAAACCACTTTGGTTTTTGTAATTATCGTTTTATAACGTAGCGGCCTTGTTACTGCTAAATACCTATCTGCAGATATGACACAAATTGTCACCTAAAAGAATTTTACAGTACATAAAGAAAAGGTGATGTAAAGAGGAGGGAATTGTTTTCTATTTTCAGGGGATTTATTGTTTTTTTTTTCACGAGAAGAAGGAGGAAAAAAGTGCCGGTTTTTATTCAATCGTTTCCATATTTCTTTTTAAATATGACAACTCATATTCAATATAAAAGGAAGATATAAACGTTTTTTATTTCTTGGCCTGCGTCTTATAAACAAGTTAAGATTGGGGATAAGTGCTTCATCTTTTTTTTAGTGCTCTAAAATTTTTCTTGTCCTAAATCATAAAAAATGGGAGAATAAGGGGAGAGAGTAAGTTTTTTACTTTTGTAGTCAGCAGTTTGAAACTGATTTTTTTTTTCGACGATTGGTAGAGAAGAAAAAGGGGAGTTGGAGTAGGAGAGGGGAGGGAAGAAGAGGGAGTTGGAAGTGAATGGATGGATTGGTGAAAGAAGATAAAAATTATGAACTGAAGATTGAAATTAGCTGACTGTGGTGATTGCAACATTTTTCATTGTCTATATTACTGAGGTAGAAAGTGGAATGTTTGTTACTGGACTCGCTTTTCCGAAAGAACTTTCTCCCCGAATACTATTTGAGGACCTTGCAGGAAGCAGTCAGCTTTCTTTTACTAAGTTCTTACGAACTGCTTAGCCTTTCAGCGTTTTATAAACTGATTTGCGGACTTTTACCGATATTGGATTCATTTGCGGTTAAAGGAGGTATGGGGGGAGAAGAAAGATAGAGGTAGAGGGGAAAAAATTTGGTGCGCAGGATTTTCTTTTTTTTTTTTGAAGGAGGCTGGCGTTTCTTTAGAAGAATTTGGACTGCTCAGGAACTCAAGATGGAAAAGTGCTCGGCCTTCAGTTGGTTATAT